ACTGGATTAAGGTCAAAGACAGCATAGACCTTGATAATCTTGTCCTTGACTGCTAAAGCTCAAGGTACATTATGCAACCATTTTAAACCTGCATCGTTGCTGGTTCAGCCTATCAAGTTATAGACAGCCTATAGAAGCAGGATATTTCCAAAAGTCTTGCCAACTTGTTTTGGTGGCCAAATCTATGCATTCTTGGGAGAAAGTACAGAGACTAATGGTGATTCAGTCCTAGGTTTGGTAACCCCAATTTTTTTAAAGGTTTATTTATTTATGCATACAAGGACTGGGTTATAGACCAGAGATGTGGGGAGTGAGCAGATTCACCAGAGAAGAGTGGGGAGCAGACCAGGAAGATCTACTGAAATATACTGCTGAGGGGAGGGAGCAGCGGGCAAGTCAGGAGAAGCCTGCTGTGCTATGTGGGTCACTTCCTTGGCTGGGGATCGAACTCATGCTGCAGTGGCTGTGGTTAGCTTCATACTGCTGTGCTTCAACCGGTTGTACCACCAGGGAGAGCCCTGTAACCCATATTTAATCTCCCTAAATTTAAGCTTCAGTGTCATTATCTCAGCTATCTTCTACACACTCTTTTACAATAATGCTCATCACAACAGACCTCAGAAGCTGTTAGATGTCTAGCATCCCCACAAGAACCTCCACTTCCTTAGGAGAGACTGTCTTTCACCAATCTTTAGTCTACAGCCTAAAGTAGTATCTCACCCACAGGAGGAGGATGGCTGGAAATAAGCAGCACTAGCTTTAAAGAGAGGGCTAGGCTTTCATTCACCAAATGCCTGGGGAGGCCTCCTTACCTCCACTTCAACAAGATGAGAAAATCAGCAATAGCCTAACCACATAGGGTTATCCAAACTTTGCGTTATAAAAAATAAAGGGATGGCAATAGTCTCTCAAATTTTCATACATTCTAAGATTTTTTTTTTTTTGTATGTTAACATCTCTGAAATATATCCATTCTTGTAATGGGCTGAATGTTTATGCTTGTCCCCCATTCATAAGTTAAATGCTAGTATCCAGTATTATGTTATCATAAAATAGGATCTTTTGGAGATTCTTAGGTTATGAAGGTAGAGCTCAGTGCTCTTATAAAGGTGACCTGCCTGTGAGGTTTACAGCTAGAAAGCACAATGAAGCAGAAAGGAGGTCCTCACCAGACACCAAATTTGCAGACACCTTGACTTTGGTCTTCCCACACTCCAGAACTATGAGAAATAAATGTCTGTTATTTATAAGTCACCTGATTCCTGGTATTTTGCTGTAGCAAACCTGAGTAGATTAAGACCTTCCTACAAACCATGTGTATTTTTTCATTCAGTGTTTTTTTGTTTTTTGTTTGTTTGTTTGTTTAGATTTACCTTTATTTACATATACATCCAAGAACTGAGGTGTAGGCCAGAGGCATGGGGATGAGAAGATCCACCAGAGACAAGAGAGGAGAGCAGAACAGGTGAAATACATGGTTGAGGGGAAGCAGCCAGTGAGAAAGGAGAGGTCTGCTGTGTATGTAGGTCAGATCTCCAGCCGGATATCGGCGGTAGTGGCTGTGGATAGCTTGATAGCGCTAAGACTTCAACCCCTTCTACCAGAGAGGCACTCATTCTGTGCTTTTTGTCTTATGTGCTGTCATAATACTATGTGAAATCATGGTGATTCTTAACAATCAAATGGTGATTCTTGCGATCATGTCATAATATTACATGAAATAAGTGTGTCTAGTTAGTAGTCAACAAAATGTACCCATCAACATCTTGCCTCTGATAAGTATCCCAAAATCTCCCGAAGAATCAGTTGTTCTGTTTTTCAACCTCAAGTGCTTCCCTTTGCATTGCCTATAACACCCTGGGTGTCTTTAATAACTCCCTAACCACCTTACTTGTTAAATGCATCCAAAATTTCTGGGAAATTATTTGGAACTTTGATTTCCACACGTACTAGGATGGTATTTAGCATAACCCCTAATCTGACTTGTCTTTATTTTCCATTTGATTCTCACTACCACCACCAAGCTTTAAGTAATGGGAAGAACTTTGTGGTGTCTTGGAAAAAATAACTTTAGTTCCAGTACCTTGCAATTAATTAGCTACCTCTCTAATCTCTGTCATCAGCAAAATGGGGATGTCAATATTTTCCTCACAGTTATGCAAGGGTGGATGAGATCATATGTATGGATATCCTTTAAAATTACTGCATTCTGAAATCTGATAAATGGTGAGGCCTCCTTCCCCTCTGTAATTTTACTAGTCTTGGACAACTGCCAAAGACAACAGAAGAAAGGGTGTCTATTAAGGTTCATTTGATTGCTTCCTACATTCACTCACATAAGCATGGGGATGATTTCTGTTTTCCAAATACCTGTAAGACATGGAAAACAAAGTGACTGATTATTATATTTGAGTGGACTGAGTTCCAATAAGGATGTGAGCTCCATTGCCAGAAATATCAGTGTCCTCCCAATTTTACCTCATTCTGCAGGAACTGCTCCCTCTGCTTGGGCCTGCTAGTCCAGCCTTACCATGGGGTTTTCAAGACAGTACAAGTTTTAACTTGAGATAGTGAGTTTCTTTCAATATCACGGGAGAAAATTTTCCTTTTCTGTTTAGCATTAAAGTGGCAATCATTTATCCATTTATTTGCATCCTTTTCTCCCTCCTCTTATTTTCCTTCAGCTCTGCCATTCCCCCTATTTTTCATCCCATTAAAACCTAGTATGGGGCCCTCCCTGGTGGTGCAGCGGGTTAAAGCGCAGCACTGAGAATCTGAAGCCACTTCCGCATGAGTTCGATTCCCGCCTGCCCGGGAGGTGACCACATGGCGCGGCAGACCTCTCCTGACCCGCCCGCTGCTCCCCTCAGCATTGTACTTCCTCGATCTGCCTGTTCTGCTCCCCACTCTGTCTCTGGTGAAGCCTCTCACCGCCCCTGAGCCTCTGGCCTGTACCCCAGTTCTGTATGCACAAATAAATAAATAAATCTTTAAAAAAAAAAAAAAACCTAGTATGTTTGTTACTTGGTTTTAGGCTTACATTGTGATGTGAGAGTTTGATGATGCTAGGACACCAGTAGCTATTTAGTGCTCTCTTTGTGCTCCATTTGCCCTGGTCACCCCATTTCTACAAGCATCTCACAGCAATCTAAAAAGAGTTCTGTCTTCTCGGCTTGAGATGAGTACACTGAGGTGACTTGTCAGAGGTCACAGATTCAGAACCAGACCCAAACCTCCAGAGGACCGCCGACTTTTGGTTTTGATTTTTTAGTTTAGATGGAGGAGTGGGAAGGAATGGTATTTGAGTAGCCATTTGGCATATTTTTAGTTCACTTAAGCAGGAAGTTATCTTATTCCACTGTCTATATCACTTTATTTTGTTTTATTTCAGTAAATGAAATTGCTACTGGGTCATTTTCCTTTATCTATTTTTGGGAACAATTCCAGTTTCATGTGGCATTACAGAATAAATCTCTAGCTAGAGGTATTTCTAAAACAGATAGCCTTGGGAAGAAATGGGGAATAAATCGCATGAATGAGTTAGTACAAAACTCCTAATAAAACCTACAGGTAAAGGGTATAATTTGCTGACACAGTTATTTAGTACCATTACCAAGAACTAAAGATATAAAAAATAAAGTATATATTATTAAACAGAACTACAAAAGAGAGACTTACCTAAAGAGGAAAAAAATTCCAACCTGAAATTTATTTGTATGAATAACCACAAAGAAAGAATTTCCCTTTGTTTTTTAATGTCTTTTCCTTGGACAGTGAAAAAAAAAATCAGTCTTTATTTGTCAAACTTGGAGTTTGTAAGATGCAATTCTTATAAAGTATAAAATCTTCTCATTTCACAACTTTTGGTTTTCTTTCTATATTTGATTATTTTATTGTTTTACTACTTTTGTTAAGTTTTTAGTTTTCTCTAAGAGTAAAGGGAATTCTTCTGTGAGAAGTATTTTTATGAAAAGTGGAAAAGTTAGTCTCTGAAATAAACTCGATTTCTTAGTTTCATGAAACAGAAAACTTGAAAATTCCAATTTTTCACAAAATTGGTAGTAGCTAAAATTACAGTTAAAGAACATGAAATGAAATTAGACTTCCAGGATAACTTTTGGTTAATGAAGAGTTAGGTGCCTAGAATATATTTGGAGAAAGGGGGAAGAAATACATAACAGGTAGGCAGCACTTTATTGAAGAGCAAGTTATTTCTAAAAAATCATTAAACAATATTTCTTTTGGGAAATCTTTAACAGAAAGCAAAGAATCATTTATATTTTATTTATCCTTTCCTTCACCTTCATTAAGTGTCTTTTCATTGAAGCAAAGTGTTCCTGGAGCAGAAAGATGCTTCTTCCCTCCTGTCTGCTCGCTGGAGTGGGGAGGGGTGTGTGTGTGTGTATGTGTTTGGGAGCATAGTGGTGTTGTGTGTGTTGGGCCCGAGGGATCCCTGGGGAATAGTGTCCCGGGGTGGGGTGGGGGGGACAGACTGGGTTTTCCTGGTTGGGGTCGGTGGGGGGGGATTGATGTTGGGGGCAATCAGGGTGATCCCCCTCGCTCTTTGTGCTGCTGATATCCTTGGTTGTGCAGCCAATGCTGCCTGTCGCCAGGCTTTCTAGTGCAAATGCCCACTACCTAACGTGCGCCCAGACCTTGGGAGACCAAGCAATGTGGCCACCCAGGACGGGCTGCTGGGGAGCCTGGACTCTTCCGGGCCGCTGGATCCCCGAGCACCTGCTTCAGAGTTCTGTTCGCGGGCGACACAGTGGGATGGAGGACGCTCGCGGGGCCGCAGCCGGGAGAGGACTGGTGCCCTGAGAGCTGATTGCTGAGCGCGCCCCTCCGAGAGGTTTTCTCTTCACCAGGAAAGCCGCAGCCTCTGCACCCGCCCCGCGCGGGACAGGCAGGCGGCCAGGGCTGGGGAGGGGCGGGCTCGAGGGCGGGGGCCGGGCGCGGAGCAGGGCCGGGCAGGGCTGCGCGTCGCGGGCCACTCGGGCTGCTCCCGAGCCGCCGCTGTGCGAGGAACGCAACACTTGCCCCGAAAGTCTGCTCAGTAGCTGGCGCCGCCGGAGCGCTGGCCATGAGGACCCTGTGGCTGGCGCTGTGCGCGCTGACGGAGCTGTGGTCCCCGGCCCTGGCCGGCTGCACTGAGGCGGGGCGCTGCTGCCCAGGCAGGGACCCCGCCTGCTTCGCCCAAGGCTGGAGGCTAGACAGGGTCTACGGGACGTGCTTCTGCGACCAAGCCTGCCTCCTCACTGGGGACTGCTGCTTCGACTACGCCAGGGCGTGCCCAGGTGGGTGGCTGGCTGGCAGAGGGTGGGACGCTTGGTGGTTCATCTACAGCCAAGGGGTGCAGGGTCCCATAGCAAGCACCACTTTCCCAGAGCCAGGCGTCTCCTGGTCCAATCCATCCTGGTGGGTTCAGCCCTTCCATCAGACCAGTCCATTTTGGTGTCCTCCATTCAGGTGTGGTCAGCTCCCTCCATCTTAGGTTCCTCCAGGTAGGCCTATTCTCTCTACCCTAGTGCTTTCTAGCCCCCACCACCTAGGTACACACCATACTCTCCACACTTGGGGGTTCCCAACTCCTTCCATTCAGGGGTCTCCCAGTCCAATCCATCCATACATAGCTCTCCCAAGCGCCCCTTCCCCGTAGAGTCTGTATGGAAGGATCTAGAACCCTCTCTTCTGGAAGGGTACAGGGCCACCACTACTGGAAGAATTTTCCAACTCAGGAACTCCTACTCACTAGAGGTGGCACTGGAATTTTCAGGAACACACCCTAGGACAAGCCCTACTACTTTTCGGGGGCTTCTGAGGGAACTAGTTAGGGATGGTGGGAGTTGGGGCGAATGTGTCATTACCCCATTTTGTGCCAAGGACTTGCTCTAGGAGAGAACTTTCTTCTGGAGAACAAGCTATTGGAAGACCACAGTTGGCTTCACCTCTAGAGTCCAGCATTTAGCACCACCCCTTCCTCATAGGAAATATTCCAAGTATCCTTTGAATTCAGTTTCTCTGTATAGCATGACAAAAATGTTTATCTTAGGGTGCCTATTTTAATCTTCCTGGTTTTCCTTTAGGGGCTGTCTTTTTTGTCTTTAAATTTCCCACACTATCACCACCCCTGGTAAGAACTCCATAGTTGTTGATTTAATTCGTTGAAGGGTCAAGGAAGAAATAGGGCATGTTCCTGAAGAAAAAAGCATATCTGACAGAAGCCCGCTGGAGAAGTGAAAGTTACCCTATTCCCTGTTAATCACATAACCCCCCAAACCTCTCTGGGGCCCTCAGCATCTTTCTGGGAGAGCATACTCCCCCGCACCCTGCATTCCTGTTGCTCTGCCAAAGGAAGTACATACTGGGTAAAGAGGACCTCTTTCTCCCCTTTTTCTGCAAGAGTCAGCCAGCTCACTGCAGGACCATCGCCCAAGCCAGCAGCTGAAAGAACACTGTTGAAAAACATGAAGATTTTTTTGATGCTCGTCAAAAGTTAATGACTTACCTATGAATTCTGATCTTTTTGTGTAAGCTGTTTCCCTCTTCTGCTCCAAGGTCAGGATATTTTCTACCAAAGTAAAGTGAAGTGTCAGCTATTTAGGAATTGTACTGCCCAGGCATCCCACCTAACTTCCCATTTGCCCTAAGTACCTGACAGTCCAGCACCACCTCAAGGAGGTTGGATCACTTTGCCAGTGGGTTACCAACACCTTAAAAGTAAATGCAAAATTTCTGTGGTCTAGAGACTGTGTTCTGATCTCTGGTAAGCACAGGGATACAAAGATGGTGAGGACAATCTGTGATCCCTAGGACATCATAGTTAAGCCAGGGACAAACATGTACAAATAACTGCAACAAATTTAGTGTCCAAATAAGGGATCTAAGAGACTAGCGAGGAAAAACTCAGAAGACCCAGAGAATTCAAGCAAAATTTCCCAGAGGAAGTAACAAGTGAACCTGGTCTTAGAGAATGAGCAGAAGTTCTCTGGCAGGGGAAGAGTGCTAACTGTTGCTATGTTACCTGTCACCTGTGGGTGTTAGTCTTTTGTGCCAGACACTAGTCTGGGCCAATGGGGGATCAAATGGGGGAATAGGATAGATAGTGGTGCAGTTAGATAGAGAGAGAGTGCAGAGTGGAAGAGAATGGGGCAATCAGGCAAGATTCATGATGACAACAGCTTCCTTGTGAGACCCTAATGTGTCATGAGCAGTTGTAAAATCCTCAGTCTTTATTTGGTCAGGGAAGTTGAACTACTAATACAAAGGGCTTATTTTAGAGTGGAAGATTATCAGGGGAAGGAGAGATGATTCAGAAAGAAATCACAGCAACTTTGTAACTGGAAGAGGTGGACCAAAGAAATAAGCCACAAAAAGAAATGGAGTCTGAAGAAATTTTAAGAGGAGCATATTCTGGAACTTTAAGTTCCCTTCTCCAGGGAGTTAATGCAGCACCTCACAGGCCTCAACCAAAGCAGACACAGGATTGCAAAGGCCCCTCGTTGGTAACTTCTCTGCACTGGAAGCTTCTTGAGAAGGGAAGAAGAAAAGAGACGACGGGAGGTTGGCCACTGTGGAGAGCCTCAGGAAAAGCTGAGAGTGAAGGGTGAGGCCAAGACCTCAGCCTGGGACTCACTCTGGGTGTCCCCCCCCTCCCGTACTCACTCTGGGTGCCGGGAAAAGGCAGTGTTGGGCTGTGTTAGGATTTTACAGCTGCAGGAACTGAGCCTCTCAGAGGGCTTCACTGACTCAAGTGGACATAAATGGGCCACAGAGTGAGCCCTGGACCACACTGAGCAGACCCCAGGCTCTCAGCAGTCATTTTCTTTGTGCTGGTTCATGGGTGTTGCTTATTTCCAGATAATTAAGGTTCAATAGCTCAGAGACACAGGTTATGCTCTTTCTCTAGAACCATTCTCCTACTTGGATTCTTCCTGCTGTGTTCCTTACTGATGCTGCATGAAACATTTTTGACAGAAAGTACATAAATGTGAATGAAAAATATGTATCAGTAAGCATACTTTCCATTTGTTGTGATTTTTTTCATCTTGATGAACACTTTTTTTTTTTTAACTTATTTTGGCTAAGACAGGAAAAGGAAATACTGGAATTTCTTTTTAAATAGACATTTATTTTTTCAAACTCAGTGAAAATGATAATAAGTTAGTTGGATCTACAGAACTCCTACTAAACTTCCCCAGAGAGTCTTTTTCTGAAACTATCTCAGAAAATCTCATGATAACATGTGTTTCAATACCAGTGATATATCTCTCCCCAACAGAAAGGGTGGGAAAAGTTTCCACTGGCTGTGTGTGACCAGGGCTGGGGGAAGATAGAGGAGGGAGTCAGATTCAAGTTACCTTTCCCTGAAGAACTTCTTGGAAGGCTTGCTTAGCAGGCTTCTAACAGCTCAGTGTTTAATCTCCCCGCTGGCCCCTAGAGTCTGCATTTAACATTGCATTTATTTTTGATGAGCCACTTGAGGGAAGAGTTATAATTAACTCAAGTGGGACAGAGCAAAAATTGAGTAGCCTGTGTGAGCCAGTCTTCCTCTCTTGGATTGATAAGGAATCTAGGAAACCAGTTGTTCCAAACCTACAGACATCATATCTGGAGGGAGAAGAGGCTTTGTGCCTGAAATTATAGCTCCAACCACACTCAACGGAAGGATGTTACAGTCAATGATGGTTTAGAGAGTTGAAATCTGCTGGAGCCACACTGTTCTAGATACTGCATATGCTGTGCCTGCCTTTGATTGTTAAGAAGATGAGCATCTCCTGGCGTGAGTATTCCCCCATGGACTTGACTATACAGATCTGGCTACAGACATGAAGGGTCGTGTACCCAACGTTCACTTAGTGTCAGGCCCTCTTCCACCTAAAACCTGCTGAGGACATTCGCATGTTTTGGTCGCCTTTTACAGACATCGAAACCTGGGCACTAAGGAGTTAGGCAGTGTTCCAAAATCATACCACTCATAAATGACAGAGCATGATTTGAACCCTCTGGATCCAGAGTTTGTGCATTCAAGCCTTGTGCTTTTACTGCCTCAGAGAAATTAGGTTTCATGAGAAACTATGTATTTTGCAGGTTATAGAGTCCAGATATGTGTTGGTAGAGTACATGAGTCATCTCTCTCCATTCACTGTGTGCAAAAAGTCAGGGCAGAAAACAAATACGTGTCTCTAAGCCCCTATGACGATCCTGGTGCTGCTTGATAACGTTTATAAAAACACATGGGCAGCCGTTCTGCTTCAGGATATTTTCTGTGACTCCAGAGGGCATTGCCATCTGGGTGTATCCACATTTCCTTTTAAAATAACATGTTCCCTCCCTAGATTGAAAATACATGTTTTTTGCAAAAAAATCAGAAAATGCAGAAATGCACAAAGGATACAAAAGACAGAAACGACTCACCTGGAAATTCACTACTCAGAAAAAGAATCATTATCTTTGAGATTCATGCCCTTTTTTCAGGGTTTACATGGTACATAAAATTCTGTTTTTCCCAGTGAGGCAGCTCATATAATACTGTCTTGCTAGCATTTCGTGAACTTGTTCAATTAATGTGTTTTTGTTTGTTTGTTTGTTTTTACTCAGTTTGGCATGGTTTATTATTTAGCACTAGATACCCAGGACAACTGTGGGAGTCTCTAGTGGGTTGGTTTCACTATTAGAACCACTTGTGCCTTTCCCCAATATCCCCTTTTAATATATATTTATATATAATATAATAGTTTATTTTTACATTGTTTTGTACATTTTTTAAAATCTCAATTGCATAGTTAGTGTGTTTAAAAAAAAAAAATAAAATAACACCAGAGGCCCTCCCTGGTGGCACAACGAGTTCGGACGCATCACTGCAAGATAGCTGCAGCTCTTCCGTGTGAGTTCGATCCCTGCCCAGGAGGTCACCCAATGGTGTGGCAGACCTCTCCTGACCCTCCTGCTGCTCCCCTCAGGAGTGTACTTCGCCGATCTGCCTGTTCTACTCCCCACTTTGTCACTGGTGAAGCCTCTCACCACCCCTGTATGTCTGGCCTGTAACCCAGTTCTATATGAAAAAAATCAAAAACAAAAGCAAAAAAATTAGAGACTAGATAACATGGTGGGTACAAGAGGGGAAAAAAAAAAGACTTGGTCATTTCATTGGAACTTTGAATGAGTAAACTAGCACTTTGGCAATATATCCTCATTCACCTTTCAGAGAAGTTTTACCAAGATCCCTTGGGAGAGGGCATATATGGAGAGAGAAAAAGGCAGATGACATACATGTAAAATGCTGTCACCATGAGAT